TCCTTAAAAATAAGTTATTTTCCATGCATCTGGAGATCGAGTTGTGTTATCCCACTTCATAAATCAGGCAATAGACGTTTCATAGATAACTATAGATGTATTGATAAGTGCCGTTCCTAAACTTTTTGAATTTTAGTCTCACGTCAGATGTCACATTTTATAAAAAGCATAATATCACTTTTTTACTTTCAACCTTTTAGAATTTGTGTGCCATGATCACAATGGATTTATAAATAAACAACAAACGGACGCTATTTATACAGACCCAAAAAGTTATCTTCAATGATTCGTTTTCAAAAATTTTTGTTGTTTCTTCTGGCGTACTTCAAGGTAATCATTTAGGTCCTTTACTTTTTGTTATGTATCTTAATGCAGGGAGAATCACATTCGATTCTCTAAAATGTATGTACTAATGTATGCTGATGATGTGAAGCTTTACATGCATATAAATTCCCTTGACGATTCAACTTTCTTACAGTACGATTTACATTTCCTTGTGAACTGGTACAGTGCAAACGGTATGCACCTTAATCTTAAGAAATGCAAAAAATTGTCCTTCTCTAGATCTCAGCCAATACATTCTAACTACTTTATCGGTTCATACAAATTGGAAAATGATGATTCCTTTACTGACTTCGGTGTTATTTAAGATATTAAACTACGTTTTCGTTTGCATATTGACTCATGTGTTAATAAAGCCAAATCTTTATTATGTTTCATAAAACGCTGGTCTTAAGAGTTCGATGATCCATATGTCACCAAATATTATCTGTAAGCTTAGTTCGCCAAAAATTAGAGTACGGATGTATTCTGTGGAGTGTCGAATCAGTTCAAGTTTAATTGCTGATTTTTTTTGATCAGCCTTTGAACAGTAGTCTTTGTTTAACATATTATTTTCGCTGTTATTTGTTTATATTTGTTATAAGTGTTAAGTGTTAGTGTATTTTTATCTACTACTTTACCGGCTGATGTACAACCCACTAACCCACGAATGGTGAAGTCGCGTGGGAACGAACGAAAAAAAGGTATCCCGAACAAACAAGCCAACACTGTTCTATTAATAGACAAGGCATTAATAAACAAGACAAAACCAACTTACATGATTATGCTACTTCGTTCATGTAAAACAAAGCATAGCCAGTGGATAAAGATGAAATGTTTATAAGTTCGGTTGTAAGATTTAGAAGATTTTCCAAAAGAAATTTAGTTTTATTTAATTGTTTGTTTCCTCTTCCATTGAGTTTACGATCTCGTGACTTGGGTAAAAAAGTTTTTTTTTTGTCATAGGAGTTATTTTTTAAAATAACTCCTCGGGAGAATATCCCAGACAAAAACAAGGGAACTGATGAGGATTAGTGGCTCTTTCCAAAACCTAGGTATTCCTGCCTTGCCCCCTGGTAAACATTACCGTCGTTATCCACTAATAAACAAACCTTTTGCAACAACAAAATTCTATGGTATGCCGAACAAACAAGCCAACAATGTTCTATTAATAGACAAGGCACGGTCGACGAAGGTCGTTTTTATTGTAACAGATAAAAAGAACTTACATGGTTATGCTACTTCGTTCATGTAAAACGAAAGCATAACAAGTGAAGAATGTTGAAAATGTTTTTAAGTGCGGTTGTAAAATTTAGAAGATTATCCAAAAGAATTTTTGTTTTATTTAATTCTTTGGTTCCTGTTCTATTGAGCTTACGATCTCGTCATTTGGGTAAAAAATGTTTTTTGTCAGAAGTAATTTTTAAAATAACTTCTAGGGAGAATATACCAGACAAAAAACAAGGGAACTGATTACGCTTGAATTATTTTTTATACAGAATTTGGAAATCTAGTATTTCATCTCTTTGATTTCAATTTAAAACAATTTATGTGTTTAAGATTTTTGATACTAAAAAAATAATGTTGGACATTTCTAAAAATTTCCACACTTTAATTTTAGAAACTGATGAACAATCTTTGGAATCAGAGCTTAACATTTCTATGTTTTGATATGAAATTCCATCATGGCGAATTTGGAACAAATTTTTAGTTATGTACGAAACTTACTTGAGACTGGTTAATTGGAAGGAAAACTTTATTGTAAAGATTAGGTAAAAATTAAATAGCTCAGATTGTTTTAATTCCAAATTGTTTAATACCAAATTTGAAATGAAGTACTTAAAATGTATATAGAAACACGTACTATTTGTAATGTAATGAGATTTCTGTAGAAAATATAACCACATACAGACAAACTATAAGAAATTACCAGTTTCGGAAAACGTGGGTCTTTCTAAAGGGCTAAGTACATAAGAAGCTTGAAGTCATGGCACGGCCTATTTTGTGACATTTCACAAAGGAATTACAGAGCCGCACTAATATCCTGCCGTCGTTTTTCATTATAATTTGGCATTAATATGCCTAGCCATGACTTCAAGCTTTTTATGTATTTGCAGCCTAAGTCTTCATGGATTATTCTTCCATGACCTTACAAAATACACTGCGTCTTAAAGATCTCCCGAAATATAGAATTTTTATTTTTTAATTAAAATGTGCACACAATAATATGAATTTAGAATTCATTTTTAATTTATTAAATGACTTCGTTTGTTCTGGGACAAAATAAAAAGACGTTTTACTAGTCCGGTGACTGCTTTGACATTATGGAGAACTGTGGAATAAAACCCCCCGCAAGTCCCAAAAAAACTTTTGACTTCTTTCAAATTCTTAAGTATTGTGTATTTTATCATCGCCTCTGTTTTCTCTGGTAGTGGGTAAATCCTCTTATCCTTATTTACATGGACAAGATATTGTATACGTCTCTTTAGGAAATGCCATCTTTAAACTTATTTCTGGTCCATATTCCTTGCATGTGTCCAATACTCGTTCTAAATTTCTTAACGCACCACTTTCTCTGTTTAAGGACCTAAAAATCGCGTTCATGTGTCGCAAATGGTACCTTCTTAAACTGGTATTGACCATTGTGTGTTACAAATGATGTGTATTTTCGACTTTCATTATTTACAGGCACGAGAGAGAAACCATCAAGCTCATGCTAAATTAGTGGCAATAGAAAATGATCCTTTCGGATTACTTTATTCATTCTCCTGTAGTCTATGAGTTCCATTACGTTTACTCGGTAGCTAGTTGTTGATCATATCAATAACTTTTTCCTTAACGTTATCTCTTGCCGTTTCTCAGAAATCAATTTCCATGAAAACACAACCATATTTCTTAACATCAATTTCGACTTCATTCTCAAAAAATCTAATTGGCTTTATTTTGTTATTTCCAAATCCGACAAGATATACATTTGTTTTTGTTAGTTGAAGCCTTTGTTAACGTTTTCAGTTACGATGTTAAACTTACTTCCAGAATCGAATAAGGCTAAGCAGTTCTTATCTCCCAACTTTACATATATTTTCATATCTTTGTCTGAATTTAACGGCAGAACGTTTTGTTTTAATCTTTCGAGAAATGGTAGTAATTGTTGCAATTGAATCATTTAATTCCTTTGTTGGACCTTACTGCACATTTAAAATATTTCATTTCAGGCTTTTCGGATTTTTTTTGTCACTTTCGTTTGTACTGGCGCAGAATATTCTTATTTCACTGTAGACGTCCGCATCAGTTCGTGAGATCGAATTCTCTTTCTAATCTCGTTTAAATTGTCGGCTCCAAAAAATAGTTTTGTTAACTATTGAGTTTTTAATGCCCTCCATTACGTACTGTATAAGAGCCTTGTGTTCAATATAACCTCTTGTTGCAATTTCTCTCATATGAAGAAAGTACTCTTGAACGCACTAATAGTTTGACATTTTCCTTTCTATCAACTATCAATTACGGTCCAACAAAGCCTTCCTTAATTGCTGATATAAAATAATCATATGAAATTGATCCTCATGCATCATTCTGGCGTTCTCAAATTCATCCAACCACTAGCGAATTAACAAATTCTTACTTTCAGCTAAATTTCTTATTGTGTCTTCTATGTCTTGTAGTCTTATTTTGCGCATCTTTTGTTTGTTGCCATTCCGAATGTGGCTGCATTGTTGTTGCTGTTCTACATACATATTCTGCTTTGCAAATTTTGAGTAACGACATTAACTTCATTACCACTCATTTTTACCTTGAAGTGATTTCTTCTCAGTACAATTATTAAATCATTGTCATTGGTTGGTTCACGTTCTTCATCTTGCATCTGACTGTCTGCGTCGTCATCGTAGTGCGCTTGATTATCTGCGTCGCTGTCTCCGGCGTAAAATACATAAAACAGACAAAAACATAGCAAAAATACATAAGGAATAAAAACGAATGAAAAAGAAGAACAGATCTCAGACACACACACACAAACGTTTCCAAACTCATCAGTTCCTACATAGAAAGATTCAGTACAAGGCCTGTAAAAGCCTTTTGCAGGCCCATTTCTTAAATAAGTTTGCGGTCAAAACACATAATTGTGATTTGGAATTTAAAGAATGTCAAATCACAATAGCGACTGATACGTTTATTGTGAAAATGATTTTAAAAGTAGTCTTCTTGTCTAAATTTATGAAGGCTTTTGTCCGTTATTCTTTTTGGTCTGCTTCATACAATCCAATGTTGCGTAAAATCGCTACAACCGTTGCCTTAGACAGCTAAATTTGCCATCGCTACAACTCTAAAACAGTGGTTTTTAGGGGTCTAAAATCATCACAAGTAACGGAAAAACCACCAACTTGGCATCTCTGCACAAACAAATATTCCAAATGAACACTAAATCATCGGCTGTTGACAAGTACTGTTTTATGTATTTGACTTTATGTAGGTAGACATAATTATAAAAATATTTTATCGGACATATTAGACGGCAAATAGACTCACTCCCAATAGACTTACTCTTTTGTAAAAATAATATGTGATAAACATCAAAAGATATAATTCAATATCAGAAGATATAAATACTATTGAGGTGGATTAACACACGATATAAAAAAAATTCACTATGTTGTATGGTGCTTTTAGCTTGTCATATTTACCTGTCCTAGATTCAGAGTTTCAGGTGCCCTAAAGGCAGGTGTTCCAGCTGTCGAGTAATTAGTCATTGTTGAATCTTCTCCGATAAATTCATTGCAAACTCCCAAATCAGCTATTTTTACCCGTCCACACTCTGTTAACAAAAGATTTCCTGGTTTAATGTCGGCGTGAATTATTCGCTGATAATGCACTGTGAAAGTAAATAGATAATGATAAATATAAATAAATATTTTAAATTTAATGTTACGAATAAAATTACTTTTTCTTCATTCTATGGCGTTCAGGATATAGAAAAATTGGTATATATATACTTATATGTCGATATCGACGTAGAATTTTATGGTAAAAAGAATATAAATGCGTTGTGGGGTCTAACATGAATATTTCGAGGAGTTACAAACGGGATGCCAAAGTTAATATATAATATAATAACAAGTTTTAGAATCCAGTAGTGTGAATCTGTAATTAATTATTATGGATAATAGAATTTTACAATAGTTTATAATTTGAATAATTTTTTGGATGGAATTCTCAATCATTCGACTTCGTCAATGAGTCCAAATCGATTTTGGACCTTGACTTATCAAACCAAAGTCGACTAAAATGGAAAGCAGTCCATTGCCATATTATCAAAATTGTGTCCAACAGATTTGTTTATTGCAGAGCAGATATATAAAAACGGTATTGGAACAGCAACAAGAAGTAAAGATGAGTTCTTCTATTTATAGTATTGAGAAGTTGAATGAGACCAACTACGACTCATGAAGTTTCTCAATGAAAGCGATGTTAGTTCACCAGGAATGCTGGGATATTGTGAGTGGTTCCACAAAGAAAAGTTCAAGAAACATGAAAAGGCGCTTGCAACAATAATTCTGAGTGTTACGGCAAGGCAGATCTCATACATCAAGGCATGTAAGACATCGGTAGAAGCGTGGAATACTTTGCGAGATGTACACAGATCCAAAGGCCCAGTAAGGAAAGTCACCCTCTTCAAAAAGCTATTGGCCTTGCGTATGGGTGAAGATGATGCAATACAACATCATGTTTGCGAGTTTTCGTCGTTAGACGACAAGTTAGCTGAGACCGGCATAAAGCTGCAAGAGGAGTTGTTCGTCATAATGCTCCTGGCAAGCTTACCGAGATCTTATGAAAATCTAGTGGTGGCATTACAAGTTGGCAGAAGAAGCCGAACGAAGAAAAACCATCAGCAAACAGAATGCGAAGAAGTTGCATTCATGTCGCACAGAAATAACAAAGAAAGGGTTAGACAATTAGATGTGTACAACAACAGCAGGAATGGACGCCCAAAAAGCGAGAGTACAACAACAGAAATGGAAAGTGGTACAGTTGTGGGCGCAGAGGGCATTTTGCTGTTCAGGGCAGAGACAGCAGTAAGACCAGCGAGGAAACGCACACATGCGTACTAGAATCGTCGAACAACAACAACAGCGTTTTGAACTCCAGCGTGTGTTGTTGTGTTGTTTGAAAATTTTGTAGAGCACACAGAAACGATCAACTTGATTGGCGACAAAAAAGTAGTTGCAAAGTTGAAAGGCAGTGTGTGGCTGGCAGATTGTGACGTCAGGTTGAATGATTGTACGTTCCTGAGCTGCAGTTTAATTTAATTTCAGTGGGAAATGTAGCAGAAAAGGCAGCAATAAAATTTAACAGGAAAGGGGCATCAGCTATGGAAAAAGGAAGGAATAGTATGCATGTACGGTGCGAGTACGGAAAATTTTACTAAGAAGGAGAAGTTCAACAAAAATGCTGCAGGTAGAGCAGAGAGAAGACAAAAATGTCTTAAGATTTATGAGCATGAAGTAGAGGCGTTATAAAAATTAAATAAATAAATAATTGATAAGAGATTTATGAAAAAATATGAATTCTGTAAATATTTAAATTATTGCTTATGTAGTATTTAAGAACAAACATTCGGCCTAATTACGGTTGTCGTTTCTATAGTCGTCGTCGACTTTATGTGCAAGTCGCCCTCGCCGTCGCTTCGTTTCAAAAATGGTATTACGGTAATGCATAGAAGCGACATCAACAGTTTAAAATAAAAGTTGGCAACAATTAAAGATACGTGCTAAGGCAGCAAACGAACATATTTGCATTGCCTGATTCTTGATTGTGCTGTTCCAAAAGTTTATACTGCACTTTCAAGAGTTCAATAGTTTCTTCTTTCCTTGATAAATTTTTACCATTGTTTTTTCTGGGCGATCGAAAAGCTTCAATAGTAGTTACATCAGTCTTGTCATCGGCATTGTCCATTTACTAATTTTCATGAGCTATAACGTCTGTTACACTTATTTTTCCGTATTTTCTATTACTGGTGGATTCAGTAACTTTTGAAACTGTATTACATTCGCGACAGACTCCTTCCAAGGTGACAAAGTCATTTGCTTAAAACCTTTTTTTATACCCTCCACCATACTATGGAGGGTATATTATTTTTTATACGCTCCACTATATAACTTTGTCATTCCGTTTGTAACTCCTTGAAATACTCATGTCAGACCCAAAAAATATATATTCTTGATCAGCGTAAAATTCTAAGTCGATTTAACGATGTCCGTCTGTAGGCAGGTTAAGTTCGTAAATGGGCCATGTAGGCCCACGTTTTCATATAGCCCCCATATAATGGTATCTCCCGATATTCGGTATTGTGATGATTTTGGCGACATTATTTACGGAATTTTTTCAAATTTGGTATTTGAAGTTCGTAATGGGAACAACAGTCTGTGACAGAAAATTGTCTATGCAGGTCCAGGTCTTCGAATAGGCCCCATATATCAGTACCTCCCTGTATTGGGTATTTTGACGAGTTTAGGTACAATAACCACCGAAAATGTTTGAGACGCGTATTTGAAGTTCGTAATGGATGCTACAGCCTATGGCAGACAATTGTCTACGCTGGTTCAGGTCGTCACACAGCTCCTATATAACGCTACCTCCCTATATACGATATTTTGATGATTTTAGCTACATTATTGACCGTTTATTTAAAGTTTTGAATTTGAATATGGTAATGGCTTATGAGAAACTATGCCTTTTTGGTATTTTTAAAATTTTAACAGAATTTTTTAAGGATTTTATTTTTTGGAAATTTCCAAATGGTGGAGGGTATTCACAGTTCATCCCGGCCGAACTTACTGCTGTTCTACTTGTTAGTTTTCAATTTTAAATCTTTCCGAACTTAAAAGAATTTTAGAAAACAATCTAATAAAAGCATACAAAAATAAATTTATATTATAATTAGAGGCCCGTTTACATTTAATTTTGTAGCAATGTATTCCAAATCTTATTTAAAATTAGCTGGAACGTGACCTTTGGTAAACCCTTTTGCCAAACATGGGTTTTTTTCCAACTCGGAAACCAACATTTCAAATTGTTTTGCTGTTGTAATTTTCATGGTCGACTAAAAAAATACAATGTCGTCACAATTTTTTACGGCGACAGATATTCTCAAAAATCGACTTCACATCGACTGTTATATCGACAATGATAATAGCAATCATTTGTAGCTATCGATAAAAACGACAACACTAATATCATTATTTTCACCTCGACTTCTTTTTGCGACGACGACGACAACCGTAATGGGACTGGTTGTGATTTTAAATTTAAAGAAAGTTAAATCACTACAGTGAAAAATCTGCTAAGTTTATTGCCAAATATAGTCTTATTGTCCAGCCTTATGTCGGCCTTGATTACCAGCGAATGTCTAAGCGTGTCTTGTTTAACATTCTGCTTGCTTTATTTTGATTGCTCGCTTCAAACGGATTAATTGCATTTGGTACAAGTCATCTCGATTATCACACCTCCCCGCAAAGCAGCAAAATAATAAAATGCAATCTCATGCTAACACATGGTATCCAATTTTTTCAAAATATTTGATTGACAACATGCAACTTTCCAAAGTAAAAATGTGTTCTGTGGCAAAACATACACTTCTTTGGAAATTTCGACTTTTTCACAGTTAAAAAAAAAAACAAATTGCAATATAAAGTTATAGATCGCAAAAACAATATGGATCGTAAAAAATTATAATTTTATTTTATTATTTATTTTTACGGTCAGGCATAGAAGCGATATCGATGTTTTAAAAAAGTTGGCAACACTTCATTGTTGTTGAAAAAAGGATAAAAAATCATAGTAATAGTTTCCCGGAATCTGGGTAAAATACCTACTTCTGGAAAAAATTTCAAAAAAAAAAAAAAAAAAAAACCGAAGAGTTTTTACTAAACTAGAGTTGTTTCAATTGTCTACAGCATTGAGGTTTTTAGCGCTGGGTCTTAGTAGACCAGTGTCAGAAATAACTTCAATATTTCCAAATTATTTTGCTGTTGTTATTTTCATGGTCTAATGTCAAAAACAAAATGTTTAAATTATCAACGTCGACTAAAAATACAATGTCGTCACAATTTTTTACGGCGACAGATATTCTCCAAAAACGACTTCACGTCGACTGTTGTATCGACAATGATAATAGCAATCATTCATCGCTATTGACAAAAAACGACAACCCTAATATCGTTATTGTCGCCTCGACTTCATTTTGCGACGACGGCGACAACCGTAATGGGGCCGATTGTATGTCAATGTCGTAGCATAGGTAATAGATCATATTTTGTCTATGGGTTGTCAAAGAATGTATGTTGTAAGTCAACAAGAAACAATAAAGGTTGGGAAATATATGTGTTGAGGAGGGGTGTTGGATTTTGTGAATGAAATGAGCAACACATATATTTAGCGCCACCTGTAAAGCTCATCTAAAGTACGGCGATAAATGGTAATCGATAAGATAGATCGATTAGGACGCCATGAATGTAGAATGTAAGCGTGTGTGACGCAATATTCATTGCCTGTTTAATAAAGAATCCGTTGCTGTTCGCATCACCCCAGCATCAATCGAGTTTTATTTTCCAATAGGGCCGAACTTCTTATACACTCCACAATTTGGGAAGTAACCAGTAAGGAAAGCTCAAAAGTCGGGCAGGCCGACTATAAGATACCCTACACCACTATGAACATTTAGTGCAGCTCTCGTAAAAGAAAGGTTTATATTGCAATTTCTGAGCTCTATGTTCGAAAGTTGAAGACATATGAGAGCAAATTTGAAATTCTTGCTTCTATGCTAAACTCGGTTGAATTGCGATAATGGGCTAATATTAGCCATTTGGTTCACAA